GGAGTTATGGAGGAAGAATCATAGTAATCTTCGATTTGCAGTGCACAGGCGTAATAGAGACTAGTTATTGGTAGGGTAAAAACTAATGTGCAATTGGATTGAAAGAGTACAGTTGAATTAGGTAGGCCACTGCAGACGCCGTCACATTCATCTTCACGGTTATAGTTCGTTGTAGATGCGGAATTGGACCAACGACATTTCAATATGTCGGTAGCATCATTATCTGCCATTTGCACAATGTGAACTGTTTGTGTATTCACTGGAACAAAAACTACTGGTAATGTATTTGTAACAGGACTTGTGTTGATGTAACCATCGGGTCTCAAACCTAAATTTAATCGATTAACAATTGACCAACCTCCACCGCCACCAATATAGAGTGAGTTAAACCATGCGTTGGAGACAAAGCCAATTGTAATTGACGTTGTCAACCGCAATGTCAAAGTATCGTAGCGTTCACCAGCCCATGAGTCAATTAATACGTTTGCATCACAATCTGTACTTGTCATTTTAGTTGAAAGTGAAGAGTAGTTAGAACTTGAACAGTTTTGTAAACATGTCATGAGTGAATTGACAGGAATTAATGTTTGAGTAGCAACATCTGATTCATCACAATAAGGTGTACTAAAACTACCCCATCGCCGATTCCAAAAATATCTTTGATGTATCTGAATTTTGGCATAGTTACCCGATGGTGTACTATTTAAGGGACGCCTAAGAAAGAGAACATAAAAATAAAGACATACGACATGCAGACCAAACGTTGAAAAACTACTCTTACCATGAAATAATACCACCACGGAAATGCGCTCCGTGTATCATTCCAAATAGTGTACAAAAGACAAAGATGGAAAGACATACCATACTCTTCATTTTGTCAGTACAGAATTGTCCTTTTCTCTCAGTATAGTTTTTGTTTGTTTTCAATAATGAAATAATCCGATGAAGTCAACCGAGATTAAATATTTCTCTTTATAAATTATACAATTTCTTTTCTTCTTCTTTTTATACGCATAAGTGGCCGTTTGTTTTAAGAAGCTTTTAACAAAGTGCAGTAACTTTATTCTATGAAACTTCTCAGCTTGATGTTAGAGAGAAAAAGAGAAACAATTTTTAACATACGATTATTCAATTATATTAAAAAGTAAATAAACCATGCGAAAATACTGTTTTATTATTTTCATCTGGTCTTTGTTTTTTCTACCGATTTATTTTGCATCACATGCAGAGCGTGCCGGTGTGAGTGTAAGGTGTAGCTATGCGTCTGACTATGGTAGTCGGTATGGATGTAGAGTGTGACGATGCACCTCGGTATGATGATGCATGTCGGTGTGGATGTCGTGTGTAATTGTAACTGTGAGAATAACCGATGTGCGCGTAGGGTTTGTGGTGTGGGTGTGGGCTATCTGGGTGTGAAGGCGTGAGTGAACGGAAAACTAACATTCACACCTGTACACAACAACACCCACACCCTTCTTTTAGAAATATAGTTATCATTTTGTGTTATATTTCAGTTCACATAAACTTATTTTCGAAGATAAACAAAATGCGTCTTTTTCATGACATAAGAGTTCTGAAGCGAACCCTTTAAATATTTTTTTGAATCAAAACTCGTCTGAATCGCGTTTCATTTGTATCTAAGCTGCAACAGCCGAATACGTATAGGCACACTTCTGAGAAAACTTTTCTTATGCTCCGACTCAATTCGACATAAAATGTCGTTCAGACGTGGTTGCTAATAAAATCACAGTCAGACGCAATTTAAACTAAGATCACGTCTAAACACGTTCGACTTGATCGTTGAAATTTCAAAAATATATTATGATTCATCTCAGTTTTGATCTCAGTCACCATCGTTAGGCGATATCGATAGTCTTCACATGATTATACGACAGCGGAAAGTTTCAATGTTGATGTATCTGAAATGGTAGAAATGATATTAGAACAATCATCTATTACGAACTTGTTTACAAATGTATGTATCAATAAAACACTGTGTATATAAATACATATCTTTCTCTGAAAGAAAATTTGGATTAAATAAATTGAACTATATAAATTTTTAAAGAGACCACGAACTATCTGATGATAGGTGGGTGGGAGGGCTGCGCGAATACAAGTACAAATTGTACTCTGGAAAGAACATGACCCTCAAACTTAGAATGTGAGACTTTGTAACGTCAGGTACTCTCATACACTCTCATGTATTCTAATGTACTGTAATAAATGCTCCAGTGCTGGGGAAAAACCTTTAATTTTCAGAAGTCGTACTGTCCTGTACTCTCATGTATCGTCATATACTGGGAAAAATCTAGAATTTGTACCCTCCTTTCCTTGTCGTCTCATGTACTGTCATGTAGGGTGTGGGTGTCAGTACATAAAACCACATGAGAGTACATGAGAATACAAATTCTGCAAATTCTAGGTTTTTTCCCAGTACATGACAGTACATGGGGAGTCATTATCTTCCCTGAGTACAAATTGTATTCGTATTCGCGCATCTCTGATGGGTGGACGAGTGTTTATCTCTTCCTCATGCATATTCATCCACTCTGACATCAGGAAACTTAAAAATCAAATTTTCATTTTTAATATAGAAATATATTCTAGACTATCTTGGAAATAAGCATAAAATTGCCAAACGCTATCTATTGATTGTGAATAAAGCAACGTAATAAAGCTAATCAAACTGAAACAGAAAAGCAATTCATTACCATCACAGTAAATTAAAAAAATTTATTGGATATACTGATCCATAATCACATACCTTTCAGAAATTCTTTAAATTATAGAAATTAGTGAAATGGAATCGTGAAATTGTTTTAAGTGCTTTCATCATACGAAAGATTGAAGTGTTTTTCTTTTACCGATGCAATAATAAAATACAAAACTTTTCATTCTCTTCAGTCTTAATGATCAATAAAATCAACTGAAAGGAAAAAGATCGTTTGACAGTATGAGTGTGAATGTGACTGTCGTGTGTGTAGTTATGGATCTTCTTTTTATTCTCACCCACACCTCAATTCGCAAGAATGAAAGGGCACATTTTCTTTTCTTGTTAAGAATAAAAAATAAAATAAATCTGAATCCGTTATAATAAACTAGACTAGATAATTACCATCACCACAGAGAATTTGTATATTTTACCGCAAGAAAATTTTGTTGGAGGACTATAACAGTAAGAACTATTGCTCAGAAACATTTACTCTGAAGGATATTTTTTTCAAGGACGACAAGTCGTGAATATTTTGTAAAGGATATTGTATCTAGAACATTCTAGCATGTATTCTTCAATATGTATTTATACATCGACAAGATTCCGTCTTGTATATGATTTGAAAACATTTTCGTGAAACGTCTTTTCATTTTAGGGAATATGTAATGTTATCAAAGCCGTTGTAGTTTGAGAATGAGATGAGCATGAAAGTTGGCATTGTAAAGAAGATCATCCAACTATTTGAAACCTTTACACTCTGTTAAATCATGTTCGATCCATTCGTTCACAGAAATTATCTGTCTAGAGTAATCAGATATTGGATCAATCCTGTTCCTGTGTATTTTTTATAGGGTGTGTATATGTGTAAGCGTGGATGTAAGTGAACTGAAGACTAACACTCACACTCACAAACCCTTATTTGGTATAAAAAAAATAAAGATATACCACGTAAAATCGGATGTTCAGGAATGTGACTCAATGTTAATTTAAACATTGCTATAAAATGAAGTTCTGTAAGTATCATTTTTTTCCTCAAGATTGGAAATATATAAACATAACATACGATGCAAAAATAATGAGACAAATGTCGGACCCTATTTCTCTTCAACGGAAAGGCACTGAAGGAAAAGTGTTCGATTAAAAGATAGAGCTTTTTCTACTCTTCCAAGTCATATATAATTTATTATTGGTACACATCCATGAACGAAATGATGTAATAGGAAAGAGAAGCCCTCTTACAAAGGACCCACACATTTCGTAAGGTTCAGTAAAAACGGCACAAATTGTTGTTTCCTATGACTCTTCGACAAACGCGTTTTGAAATGAATATTTATTTACCAGATGATATAAGATTTCCTTCTCTTTTGAACAATATCTGATTTATATTCGTTGCACATTCATAAATGAAATGAGACAAGAAAAAGAAAGAAATATTCGCAAAATAAATTCATAATCTTTATATAGACTCTTCAAAAACATCTTGACATACGATCATTAGTTGAAATCAATCGTTGTCTATAAGATATCTTTAACGATTTCGTATGTGGACGTTCTGTTGATCGACATTCACTCACACTCTAGACAAAATGAGATATGAGTGATAAATGAATAAGATCGGTTGATTTATAAAATTATACATAATTACCAAAGTTAAAATAAAAATCCACAAAGCAGTCGATGCATGAAACATGACTTTGGGATCACTAAAAACGATTCTATGAGATTGTATATTCGCATGACAATTGATCGATGTTTTCCATCAACATTATTTAAACAAAGTAAATAAAAAGCAAAATATTCCAAAGCTGTGTCATATTTTTGCTTTTCAAAACTGCAAACAAATATGTCTATTAATATGCTATTGTCTCAACCAAGACTATAAGCCATCTTATATTTCTACCATTTTAGTTTTTATCATGTATAAAAAGCACTCAATTACAACTAAACTTGATCATAATCAACATTCAATAAGCTGAAAAGATAGAGTGATGTATCGAACTAGAAAAAAACGATTATTTATCTAAGTACTCGCTATGTATGCATGTATGCTTTTCTGCTTTATAATACAAGACCACATATTATGTAATGCATGGGTTATTACTAGTTGTAAAAGTTGAGATAGTTTTGCGAGACACAATATTCTTTCATAATACTATCATATATCTTCATTTTAGTGAAAACAGTACGATTTTTTTTAAATATTGATCTTCAGAAGTGAAAATAAAGAAATTCCAATGACAGACTCATTCTTAAAGAAGTGAAAAAAAAAGCTTGGAGATGGAAGTTATTGGCAACTGTAGTTGACAATCTTGCGCAATTGTGCCATTGTACTTGGTTTGGTTTGTGTTGCGAGACACAAGTCTTGCCATTTTGTTTGCATGAAATTACCTTGTAAAGTGGTCATTGATTGACTCCAAAGATTCTCGCCATTAGAAAACTGTACTGTCACGATGACGATGACTGTTTTTAGTGTGTCCAGTTTAATAGTTTGTTTAGCACCATTAAAGAGTATGTAGTCAATATAGACTTGATCCTTATTTCCTTGGACATTGAAATATTGAGTACTATTGTTATCGAAAAGTATATTTGGCAGCGCGAATTGTAATGACATATTATCAAATTTTAATTTGATGGGATTTGTAACAATTGGGATCGTTATCGTAGCATTCGCGGCATCACTACCACCAATTCCAAAACGCAGACGACAATCGGAGGCGACTATGGTCGCATTCTTAATCTTATCTAAATTGATGTGCTTGTCATGATCGTCAGTTGCCAACACTAGACCAGCCAAAACTCGATCCTGCTTCTGTACACTGAAAAATTGCGCATCCGAAAAATCATTACCATCATGTAAGAATCGCAATTGAAAATACGATGTTTTGCCCTTGGTACTCCAGTATGCTACTAGAGGTCGTCGTTGATTCCACATTTCGCTCCAATTAATACTACCAACCGTCCATGAAACATCCAGATACGTGGTACCTACTAAGCCTGGTCTTGTACTTGAAACATCTTTGGTATATGTATTAGTCACCGTATGCGGTATAGTAATATTTGATGCAAAACTTGGTTTCAAATCGTTGGGAACAGGTAGCGGCAGACGCGAATCCAATTCATTTCTCAAAGATCGTTTGAGAAATCTAACATGTCCGTCACCCAGCATCGTACGATATGAACGAGAAGCGAGCTGTTGAGCTTCGGTTACAACTGCATGCATTTTTAGGCGCTCTAATTCTTCCAAGGCAACGACCGTATAACTTGGACTATTGTATTCTTCAAATTCACCGTTGACCTTAGTATAATTAGCGAATATTCGCAAGCGTCTAAGTACATATTGATGTAAATCAGTGATATTGTAAATGTCACTTACGACCAGTGTGACATGAGTACCCATGATAGCAATATTCGTATAACTGGGTCCAATGTTACGTCTTTGAATTGAACGGACAGCATGCATAAGTGCCATGGCCATATTTGTAGCTAAATCCCCTGGCAGACGCTTATGATGATTGATGACGACTTGCAACAATTGCGTACCTACAAAATCAACCCAATTTCAGTCTGGATGAGACATTTTTCGAGAGGTTCTTCCAAGTCATACGGCCAAATTCCGTATGTTTTCGACTCAGTTTTTGTGTCCTGTAATGATGAAATTTTTCTCAAGATATCAAATGCTCGTTTTTCTATTCCATTGTCTTCGCTGGCAAGTATAACGACTGCATAAACGGCTGCATCACGTATGGGACGAACTTTATCACCTTGTCACGTCGAATGATATTGTCGCGGTGCATATGTAAAACTTTTTTCGAAGCATGGCTTCAGTAGAATCGTACTCGGATTCTTGACATTTAACCCAATTCAAAATTTCGACTTTTTTGACTGTTGAAAGTTGTTGCTGAGGCACAATGGCATGAAAACGGGGCACATTTCTAGCAGCAGATTTCGAAAATGCATCAGTCCGGATCGAAGGAAATTCGATGATCAACACCATAAAAAATACAAAGATTTTTATTGTAGTAAAATACATCTGAAACAAAAGATTTCATTACGAGAAGATGTGTTGTTCCTGTATGAGATTTGTTGAGCAACAACTTCAAGGATTTTTTCGCTAAATTGTTTGTCGCAATTCGTTATGATTCGAAGCGTCATACAAATTAAAATTTTCCAAACTATGTAATTAAAGCTTTCGAGCTACCATATTATACCAGGATCATCATCTAATCGGTCTTCAGATAGAAGAAGATTGTTCGATAGACTACGAGCTGAGTGATTTAGTGAGCTAATTAACCCAGTAATGAATCTTACAAATACACTTTTTTCCTCGATGTTACAAGCATGCAAATCTCGATATCTTGTGTCGTTAGTAACAGCTAAAGTACTGCTAAATAAAAATAGAATATTCATCGCGCAATTTAGTCTCCTCGATAGAAAACAATCTAACTACATTGAGAAAAAAATACAGATTGGGTACTTAAATGTGCAAAATAGATTTTTGTATCACCTGGTGTCGTGATTGATTTTCTTTTTAGCAGGACGATTTCAAACTCTGGTATTTAATACTGTTCAGATGGTGAGTTTCCGAACATTCACAAGTGTTGGAAATATTCACATTTTCGTATATAGGATTTTTTTCCAACGTGATATGTAGGAATTTTCCCAATCTGTTCTTAGGTATATATATATATTCGTGTTCGTCCTACACTATGTTGTCAGATAGTACATTCGTTATCTTGTTCTCTAACTGTTCTTCTTTATGTCTCCTCTTCTTTTTTTCTTCTTCAATTTGTCAGCATAATCGAGATATCACAATAAACGGAACTCACATAAACTACAAATCTACAAATGCCAGTAATTGTTTTCTTTATATCTTTAATCTGTGCCCATTGATTTGATTTGCAAGTCTAGTTCGAAAATAAAATATTCAGATTCAAACAAGAATATCAACTGCAGTTTCAAATGAAAAAATGACAAAACGATCGAATAATGCTAATAGGTACCGTTCGTTTTCTCTATGAACGAGGATAAGGAAACAATTTTGTAAAATTTATTTGAATATAAAATTGACTAAACATAAACGTATTGTAGTAAAGGTTTTCTAACAGAAGAAATCTGCAACATTTATTTTTTATTTTCTCATTTTCATTACAACAGTTAGTCAGTGTGTGCGACAGTAGAATGGAAAAATATTGTTTCAACGTATGATGCCTTATTTGGATGTCTACGATCTTGTTTCAATTTCTGATGATGGAAGTATAAGAAGTAGTAGAGGTATTGCAGGCATAAGAGGTATTCAAACTACTGTAGGATGCTGTTCATGCATTTTCCGGAAACTCATAATAAACAAAACATGTGTATTCGAAATTTAATACTTGAAGAAAAAAGTGCTTCGTAGAAATTGTGAGAGATTTCTGCTAAGTTTCATGCTCACGAGGGAACTCTCTGACCTGGCAGTCATCGTTTGAGGTCATAGTGAATTCACAAGTCGTCGATTTTCAACTTAACTTTAAATATTTTCCAAACAAGTAAATAACGTAGTTTCGATTCAAAGTTTAGACTATAAATACTCATATAAACTCTTACAATATCTTAAAGTTTCATCTGAAAAGAATATTCCTTCGTCAAGTTATTAGATTGTCAAAAGAACTTCATTGTTTTTGTGATATGTCTTGTCATAAAGAGCTATTTTTTCAAAATTCAATATCTTAACGAGGAAAAAGTTTTTTTGTGTGAAACTTCTAGGATATTTGGAAAATTATTAGGCCTATCTATCATGAAAATTTTAGGTCGAAGCTCCCTAATTTGATTTTTTGAGAATTACTTAAAAATAAGTCAAAAAATTCAGTAAAGCGATTCTAACTTGATGCCAATCGCCAATGGGGATGAATTCTTTCAGACTTTTGCTAGTCTCAGAGAGGTCTTGTTCCGTGCTCAATATAAATTCAAATGGCAAGTATCAGTTGAAATAGTTCTCTTATTGGAACATAACGAAAATCGCTTGCTTTTTGTTTTTCCAGGCTGTTCCAAAAAATACGATTGTATTCTGTTTCAATGATTTTCAACTGCTTCAAACTGAAGAATAATATTAGAAAACTTTTTTGTAATATTCTGTTAAAACGTAATATAAGCGTATCCTTTCTTTTTAGCAGGTTTATACAATTGTACTATTTGAATGATTTGAAATAGCAGTACAATTACCAAGAAATGAAAGAATTATAAATGCTTCACGTAATTTAATTGATAATTAAACAAACACTCATTTTGATTGATTCAAATCAACATGGATTACATGATATTTGTGTTTTATTATTTATGAATAGGAATAAAATAGTTTTATATTCTAACTAAATAAATCAACTATTTGAGATAATTTTCTTGCTATTATTCCGTTTAATATGTTCGAAAGATGAGCCAATCGACGTCAAATCATTTCTAAACCACATGGGAATTTTATGGATGACTTTACACGAAAAACAGGTTGATCAGTGAAAATACACTTAAAAGTATTTGTCCATCTTCTTCATTAGATTAACATCATTTTGGTATTCCATCCGGTTCTATAGCTACACAAGGTAATCCATTGAAAAAATATATTCTTGTTAGAATAGACAATGCGTGCGCAATTAATTTGACTAATGTTGAACAAGTGCCGCTTCAATTGTTATCATGACTTCACCATTGAGTATAATTGGTATGAATAGAAAGTTCTATAATTATATTAAAGTTGTTGTGATTTGGATTACTGATCAGTATTCTATCATTGATCGAATAGTTGGCATTGAAGATAGAAGTAAGAAAAATATTTTATATTGATCAAATACAGTTTTATTCGTTTTTCTAAATAAGACCCTAATTTTTTAATTAAAACTATGCTAGATCAAATCAATGTTAGTTTTTGAAAGTATAACTTACATACATATGTTAAAGTAGGTTTTATCAATATTAGTATAAAATGAAATGAAAAAGATATTATGAATAGTTTCTTCACAACGATCTTAACTAATTTAGGTATGCCGATTTATATAAATACATACAAATAAGCTTATATGTATGTTGAGAATACGTTGGGATTATTGTTAGTTGGTAATCGGTACTTCATTCATAAAATTGTGTGCGTGTTATTATCAGTGGAGAAAAGAAAATACATTTTCATAGATCTCATGCTAGGTCAGGTAAAAACTTTTCTTTTCTATTGAATAAAACATAATTTTTTCTTGTTTAGATATTTCAAAATCAAATATGCCCTATCATTTAGACATTACATATGCTGGTAACTTATTATCGAGTATGCCTATTCGAATTATAACAATTTGGATATCTCTGAGTCGCTTGAAAGTCAAAGTACATGTTGATAATTCATATGAAGCACGAGTTAATGAAGAAACATAATTTATTATCAATATTTCATGAGCTTTAAATCATAACACTAATAAGTCGATCATACAATTGATCGATCCACAGATCCATGTCGAAGTTCGCATTCAGCAAAATGAAAAAAGTAAAAATATTTCTCGTTTTTCTTATAAATTTATAATATTAAATAAAATATAGGAGAATTATTCAAAAACAAGAATCTTTACTATATGTAATATTTTTGGATAATTATCTGTTGAGTATAATATACGCAAAAAGTGAAATACATGATTTATAATATGCACTCACACCCGCACTCTTTTAGATTGTGTCTCACACTATAAATTATTCAGTTTCAATATTATTTTTACTGTAAAGAAGAATACAATACAAATTTTGTAGGCAGTTGATCGAAGCTATCTGCTCACTTCATTAAAGAAATAATATAAGTTTCATAGATCATGTTAAAATTCAGAATGAAAAAATCATTGGAAACTATAAATTATTCTCAAAATACTACGAAATCTACTCTTTCTCATAGCTTTGGCGAAAGTCATATTAAGCCTTATATGAAGACCTTGACATTCAACTCTAAATATACATTAGCGAATGATTCTATGTTAATTCAAAAAATATAAGGTTTCTTTTCGTATCAAGTACAAATCATATTACGAATGTGGGTGTGAGTCTTCTCTTCAATCACACCGACACCCTCGTGTTAAGCTTCTGTATAAACTTTGAAAAAATTGAGAAATACCGAATGAACAAGAAAGATATATAAACTTGAAGATATTCAAAAAAGAAGCAGTCGGAAAGAAAAACAACGCGCTTTTCCTTTATGATATAAAACGTAGAAGACACATTACAGTTTGCAGACACGATGAGCTGTGTTAGACAGATGTGATGGATCATATCTTGCAGATAAATATTGTTTTTACGATTTGTCTGCTCATTTACACTATTGTTCACATTCATCAAAGCATATCGTTATTCTTCGACCATCGTTCGTTCGTTCAAGTGATTTAATTGTAAATGGTATATAGCGTAAGATTAATATTTCCCGCTCGTTTCCAAAATTGCTTATTTTTTCCAAATCAAGCGCTGTACGACGACGAGTATTATTAATATTATACGTGCAAAATATTGATATTGATATCATGTCTTCAGGATGAACTGTACAAAATAACTCCGCTACGATAGGATCTGTCGATGTTGATAAAAATGTTGTTGTTATTATTGTAGCACCTTCCTTATAATTAGCTATACGTTTCTGATCCTTAAGAACTATACCACGATAAACTGTTCTATTTCGAACAATGAATTCATCTAATTTGGGATGAAAAAGAAGACTGGTAAAAGCTTCTGTATACTCTTGTGTTTGAGCCAAAATTGGACAGTTGAATAATGTACAGTAGAGTTTTAGTATATGATACGTGTTTGCAGCTAAATGTTGATTTACACAAAGACTGAATTTGAGACTACAGGTGTAAGCCTTGATGATTGGTAACGGACTATCTTTCTGACGAGCTTCTTGGAAACATTTTCTAATCTTATTCCATTCATTGTCAGTGGGCATGAAGTTTAAAAACGTTTCCTCTATCGTATCTATTCTATCAGCTATACTCCAAGATAAGTTTGATTTTTCTATTTCCTGATGAAATTGTTTGGCTCCTTTTATGAGATTATCTTTTTCACCAAAAGTCAAATACCATTCACACCACTCTAATCTATTTCCTCGACTTAGAATATCCTGAAGATCATAAACGCTATCGGAATTAATCGTCGATCGTAGTGTTTCACAATTCGATTCGAGTAATGTGTCACATGTTATATCTGACGATGGTAATCGCGAGACGGTTCTGGTTCTTGTATTAGTACGGCACAGTGTTACTAACCAGCTCCAACCTGTTGATAACCAGTTCCATGCAGCCATTTTGTTCCTTTGAAAGTTTCACAGCTATGTACTAGCTTTATAAGCGCTTGAAAAGTTCTTGTTCTATGTTGAAAGAAATAAAACTTCAAGTGAGATAGATATTTATATGAATTTCTACGACTATAATAATTTTATATAGATTGAAAATTCTGAGTGTAGAATATAGAATCAATTTAGGAAGTTCATTATGATTCATTCATCCTACAAATGGTAAATTAACGTAACTCAACTTAACTTTACTTTTTTCCAAGTAAAATAAAAATAAAGTGCCCCTGAGGCACAACTACAATTTATAGTTCATTAAATCACAATACCGTTTACTACCGATATGAATCAATTTTCTTATCGATAGGTATGATTTGGTAACTCGAGAAAAAACCAGAATCAACAATGCAGAAAATGAGGCTGATGCTATTTCACCATATGCTATTTATATGTAATATAAAGTAGGGATACTGTTATCGATTATTTATGTACTGTTAAAAAAGAGAGATACTAACACTACATCAATAGCACCGTCGACATTTTCTCTTTCTTTTTGAAGATTCATGTCCTTCTTATCAACAATCGATTTTTTATGTAGCCGAAGCAGCATATATCTTTGAAACACTTGCTTTTTTTATCTGAAAGAGCGCATTCGAGACAGTTAGATTAGCATTAAAGGAAACATTTTCAATTGCTACTTGTTCTTAAAAGTAAGTGAACGCCTAAGACCACAACCTGTTTATTATTGTACTATTGAAGTTAATGGATAGTCTGATGTAGAATTTTTTGCTGAATCACGTTACAATAATTGCAAATCAATTTTATAATATCTAAACTAATATATAATAGAAATACTACTACTTTATTATCGTTCAAATTGTCACTGATATCATGAAGTATCTTTCTAATAACTTGGCACAACAAAATTGTTTGTATTTTTGAGGGTGAGCCATTTTGTTACTCACAGCCATATTCATACTCACACGTGCATCCGTATCCACACCAATTGATTGATTTGAAAAGAGAAGATAGTGATGCGAGAAAACCAATTTTGAACAGTTGAATATGTTAGTTTCGATTAAGTATTTATATTATTCTTCAAAAGTTGATCTTTCACTCATTTACGTATTTTAACATGAAGTCCTAGCTTGTATTATAATTTTGACTCAAACCAAATCTTTTACTTTTCAACTTTAAATTTGAATCCTGAATGAGCAACTCATCTTTTTATAAAAGATCAGATATTTTACTGTGTATTTTAATCATCGATTAACTTTTAAATGAAAACAACAACAAACGAAAACTTTCACGTGTAAATCGTGAATAAGAAAAGAATACATCACTACTCGAGTATTTTGTGCCACCTTTCATTTTGTCCGTTCTAATAACTGCATTAATTCATAAAGAAAACAAAAAAGAGAAAATATGCTACTCCGCGGCAGGGAATCGAATCCCTGTTTCTCGCGTGACAGGCGGGGATACTAATTACTATACTATCGCGGACATTCTTTTTTTTTCATGAACTAAACTACGCAATGGAAACCTCGTTCATCCATAACATAATAATATTGCAGCATTCAAGCAAAACAAAAGAATGATTATGAAACATGATCATGTATTTTTTCTTAGATCTATTGACATTGAAAGATGTAGGTGAAAGAAAAACATTCTCCTTTATAACCATGCGAAAAAAAACAAATAATCATTTATGTGACAGCCGATTATTTTTTTTTTGTCGTTCTTTGTGCAAATAGACATTACATCACAGCACAAACAGAACAACTCCACAGCAGGGAATCAAAGCAGCTCAGTCACATTTTACGTGTACGACGCGATGAATAAAACACAAAAAGATTTTAAAGAATGGTGACTGAAGCGAATATCTTCAATCCTGATCTTTGGTTCGACAAATTGACATATTCAAACCATTATACTACTGCAGACATTCATTTCTAATCTCAATCATGCAATCATTTTGTTCGATTTATGTATTTCTTCCTTTGTTGGCGCAATAGCAATCATTTCCCAATAGAAAAAACTATATCAAATAATTCCAATTTAAAATTTCACATTAAGCTAAAATGTTTTTTTTAAACCCTTAATAACGTTTGCTAGAATTCTCAATGCTGTTAGAGTACATGATGTATAGATCTTCCAAAGTAATCAGGGTGTGGGCATGAATACCGAAAAGCATCTACCCATACTTTCACCTTGCGTTATAAGTTGCTCTACTGAAAATTTTTGTGACAACGCCAATATATATCTCCTCTCTCATGAATATTCTTCTTTTTTATCTCTATCTTCCTTTTTTGTATCTGTTCTGGTTGCGTATGTAAACGATGCGGTTGACGATTTGAGAAAACCGAATAAAGTATAGTTTCGACCGTGCCAGTATTTCTTCCATCAAAAATCATCACATTTGGCACTGTAGTTAACGAATCCTCTCAGTTCTCTATTCGAAATCTATCATTTGAATGTTGAGCAAAAACAACTTTCTAGCATCGCTATTGGTTTGCAATAATTAGAACTCAAATGGTCAAATATCAAACCTGAGTCTTAAGCCACAAGTGCTGATGAGACAAATAATAAGAAATTGTTCATGCCTTGCAAAATCTAGAGTCGTCAATAGTATCAAGTTTCATTGCTTTTCGAAAAAGAATTATTTAACATCTATTAACTTCGATGTAAGACAACGAAGAGCAACTGAATGACATGCTTTTTTCTTGTTCAGATATCTTTAGTTTTAACTTCTTATTATTTCTTGTTCAATGTCTTATTTAATTAGATCGTTAACATTTTCAGACAGATGATAGTCTATTGGTAAATAATTTCGTCATTTGACGTCATGTTCAGATCTAGTCAATAGCACAAAGCAGAGACTAAGGTGATAGATCTTGTTACTCATTCATTATTCTAACAACGGTCAATATAGTGTGGTTATCTTTTTTTTTTACTACAAATATGAGCATTGGATTACTAATTTTGATAACATCAGTATTATGCAAAGTAGCATTTTCACTTCCCATTCTCCATTTGTAATCGCATTCCACATACGTGCAAAACTCTCTGATGAGTTTCGCATTACTTTACTGCCCGTAATTCATGATGCTATGGATTATTCGATGAGCATCAAAGCACCAACCTGTTGACCAGCGATAGCTCATTAGCTAAACGAGAAAGTTGTCGACAAACATCTTGTTGAGACTCGGCATCGAAAAGGTGAAGGAATGAACCAAAGTAAAGGTAGTCAGCTGCTTACATGATAAACAACATTAATTTCTTTTTGGCTGTTTCATGTCATCAACTATTGATTTACAAGCAACTACATGTTCAGTTAAATATGTTGGAAAGATAACCAGCGTATAAAGTGTGTTTTGAATGCTGAGCATAAAACTTTTGAACAAAGTAAAATAAAAAATTTGGTTTCATGTAAAGTTATAGACCTTGTGTGGGTGAATTTAATGTACTTGTTAAAATTTTAATTTTATACAATTTTTAAAGCACTTTTTAGGTGCTTCTTTGGATTTCACTGACTGCTCATCAGATTCGTCAGCTAGTATCAACAGTCATTATATAGAAAGATACAGATTATCAGTCTATTTCTAATGATAAAACTACAAATTAGTAGCTATCTCCATTGAAGAGTTATTCAACAAAGCGTTCACTCTTCTTCTATTTTGCAATCAATATTCGTTTCAAATCATTCTTGACTGAATAACAAGCATTTCATCTATTCGATGAATCGAAGCTAAAATTATCTTCTGTCTATTTTGCGAATGAATTTTAGAAATCATCAATTCTTCAATGATGAATACAAAGTTTTTGCATCTCAATAACAATCGTTCATAACTATGATAAGAATGCTGGAGCAATGTCAAGTTTCAAATGTCATTATTTTCGATCAATGCTGAACTTTTATACTCGATGATTTCCGCGGTCACTCACATATAGATTGCCCTCTCGATCAAATGACAAACTAGTAGGATAATAGAGTTGATTAGATTGACTGCCATAGCCATTCCCACCAACGATGACATTTCCCTGTGTATCACATTGAATCCAACATATTATTCGTTTATTCTCACCATCTGCCACATAGACAGTATCTGACTGATCTACGACAATTTCGTAAGGATTTCATAATTGTGTCAGACAAATTCGTTGATCTTTACTACCAGTCACAACAATGCCCTTATTTGCACCTTTCATCCACTTCGTCACACAATGATTAGACTGATCTGATACGTATACTGAATGATCTTGATCGACAAATACATATATAGGATAGCACAATTGTTCAACACGATTTCCTTGTCCATTTCTACCTGCAACTACTACTCCTTGACTTTCTCCCATTCGATATCGTCTGACCTCATGTCGATTGTGATCAACAACGTAAAGTAATCCATCATTGTTCATTGTCAAGCCCCAACATCCAACATTTGAAATAATCGTTTTTCCATTTGTACCATTCTGACGAGATCATCGAACTACTTTTTTATTGTCGTAATCACAAATGATGACACTATCTCTTTGTTTATCAATAATGACATCTAACGGATGGTTCAACTGTTCGGAACGATTTCCTTGTCGTTTCCCATCAGCTACAATTCGACCAGTCGCTGCACCATATTTCCATTCCATAACATGATGATTCTCGCAGTCAGCTACGTAGATAGTTTGACCGGGATTTCGGATCTTCGCCAATAAAACTTTCGCCAAATAGCACTTTCGCCAATGGCGAAACTCCACTATACTTTCGCCAATAGACACACTGGAACATCGCCAATTGGCGAATGTCCACTGTACTTTCGCCAACACACTTCATGGAGTTTCGCCAGTTGGCGAAAGTATAGGAGACTTTCGTCAATTTAAGTGCTAATTAGACGTGAATTAGAAAATGTGCATCGACTATATTAATAAGTTACGTTTGTGTATGTTGTAGTCATATTTTTTATGGCATTTTAGATAATAATTATGCCGCCCTTTGTTAGCGTGAAATACAAGATCATTAG